TGATGATCTTGAGCATTATCATAAAACTTGTAGTAATCATACAAACGAATTAAATAATTCTTTGTCATCCACCATCACTTTAGCCATAGCATCTTCGTAAATATTTGAAAAGCAAAATTATATGTAATCCAATTTGTAACGAGAATCGAGTACCACTGCTATGAATATCAACTTATTAATTCTTTCCAGTGAGCCCCAATATTTGTCATACGTAACTTTCATATTTGAACTCATGTTACTTAAAATAAAGTTCACATTTGTACTCCACTGAATTAAAAGTTCTCGAATACCCCAAAGTTCATGAAAATAAGAATTAGAAGTCACATATAAAGAACTACTTATCTTCCCAGTGACATCATAGAAAACGTTCAAAAACTTTACAAACACTGCAACATTTTTCCAATCATCAATGGTTGGTGGCCCTATTCTTTTGTTTCCATGATCCCCCTCTTTGAAATAATCAACATAATCTAATTCTTCCTCCTCTAATACTTTGAAAGCTTTTTCAAATTTCAAGGCATGATCAAGCATCAAATAAGTGGAATTTCATCGAGTCGCCACATCCAAACAAACAAGTGCTTTACATTTAATTTTTTCTTGTTCAACAAGATCTTTAAATTTTGTCAATCTCTTGGGGGATGATCTAACATACCTCATGGCATTGCGTACACTAGAAATGGAGTCATGCATTTCTTTAAGCCCTTCATTCACAATCAAATTAATTATGTGAGCACAACACCTCATGTGTAATATTTCTCTATCTAAGATAAGTGAATTCCAACTTCTAAGGTTCTCATAATATATGAAATAGCTATATCATTGGAACTTGCATTATCAACTCTGTGATAGAGAAAACCTTATCGATTCTCCATTCCAATAAACAACTCTCAATAATCTTGCCAATAGTCTCTCCCTTGTGGTTAGCAACTTGACAAAAGTTGAGAATTCTTTTATGCAAATTCCATTCTGAATCAATAACATGAGCGGTGATTACCATGTAATTAATATTTTGCAACCAAATCAATGCGTTAGTGATAAGGCAAACCCTCTTGGAATGACTTACTAAAAAATCTTTCAAACTTCTTTTTTTTCTTTTAATAGAGCTGAAATATATCTCTAGCAATGGTTACTCTTAATGGAGGGTCAAACTTAGGACATGCAATACTACAAAGCAATTTGAAACCCTCATTCTCTACAAATTTAAATGATAATTCATCCATAATTATCATCTTGGCACATGCTGTTCTACATCTTGTTTGACTAAATAATGAAGTAACAATATTACTACCACCCTTTCCATCCATTGAACGTTGAAAACTTAGAGTGGTTTGTCCTTTGTCCTCCACCTTATATGTGTACTTTCTACATTGATTTTTTAAGTGCTTCCATAACGTGCTAGTTCCACAAGAATTAGTATCACAAGCATACTCCTAAGAATAATAGTTGCACTTGCACCTCTTATTATTGTTCTCTAATCTTGTAAAGTGATCCCACACGGTTGATTTACTGGGTTTCTTCTTCTTAAATTCAAATTGGGTAGCTAATGGTAGTTTCGATGCATTATAATTACTAGAGCTACTTGCACATATTGTTGCACTATTGTTTTCCATCTATAAAAAGTAAAATAGGACTATTATGATACAGACATTTAACTCGATATGAACAATTAACATAGAATGCATCAAGTTAAAATATACAATCAGTTTTTGCAAGGGATATAACAAAAGGAGAAAAAACGAAAAAACTTACCCGTTATAGCGTTCCAGGAGACTAAAGAGAGAAAGACGGCGCGCGCGAAAGAAACAAGACAAAGAACGCTAGAGAATGCTATTGAATTTGAGAGGAGAAATGAATTGCAGACTGCAGAGGAGAAATGAAGTGCAGAGGAGAGGAGTCGAAATGAATTCCAGAGGAGAGGAGATGATGGCTGAGGAATGGATAGCAAAATAAAATGAATGGCAAAGGAAGGATTGCATAGTAAAATAACAGATAGGAAGGAATGAAATTTGTGTAAAAATTGCAAGAGGAGAGTACTGCCAAGAACTCACCAATAGCAGAGTGTAAGAAAGAGAAATTTCTTTCCCCACTAAGGTAATTATTGGGTTGTGAAATGTCAGTTTGGGCTTGGGTAAAAAACTAGACAAAAGTCTTTGGATATTGGTAATCATTTTTTTTTTTTTTTCGGGTTGGGTCAGGTTGACCCAATCATTTTCTTTTGGTACCCGAACCCAACCCAAATCAGATCGGGTTAAAAAAAATGGACCCAACCCAAACCCAAAATCCAACACAACCCTTATATTTCGGGTTGGGTCGGGTTGGGTTCCCGAGTTTCCGGGTTGGGTGTACACCCCTAGCAGTGGTACTCGATCTTCGTTACAAATTGGATTACATATCATTTTACTTTTCGAATATTTATGAAGATGCTATGGATAAAATGATGGTGGATGACATAAATAATTATTTAATTCGTTTGTATGATTACTGCAAGTTTTATGACAATGCTCAAGATCATCATCAATCTGAATCACGACTCACTTCTAAGTCCATGAGTATGGAGATGGACACAATTGATGAAGAGAATTTGAGTGGTTCAATATTAATATTATCAAGATACAAACGAAGAAGAGAAGAGCAACATTCACTTGAGTTAAAGAATAATGTGGATTGATATTTATCTAACTAGTGAAGAACTTGATGATAATTTTGATGTTCTGGCATGGTGGAAAGCAAATGAGTTTAAATATAGAGTTTTATCGAAAATTGCCTAAGATGTTTTGGCTGTTCCAGTGTCGATTGTATCTTCTAAATCAACATTTAGTACGGGTGGGGGGATTCTTGATTTTTTTAGGAGTTCTTTGACACCTAAAATAGTGGAAGCTCTTAGATGTACACAAATTTGGATCGGTAGAAAATCAGTATCGTTAAGATATTCCTCAACAAAGATGTGTTGCCATACCTAATGACTTATAGGTAGTAATTGTTTTATCATTTTAGGTTATACAAATTTAATTTTTTTAATTTTTTTTTTGGACCAACCAGAACCCAACCCGAAAATAGAGGGTTGGGTTGGGAAATTTTTTGGGTTGGGTTGGGTTACCAATCCAACCAACCCGAACTTTTGGGTTGGGTCAAAAAAATCCTCCAACCCAACCCAACCCGGATCATGTACACCCCCTACGCGTGGGTTAGATTCTGCAGTCGCGGTTCACTGGGCCGGTTTGACACGTGACTCACCGGAAAATTTTCTAGCTCCTCCGTTCTTGGAAATCAGTTCAGATTTTTGCCCTCGTACCAGAATTCTAGCTAGTTTCCTTCATGAATCTTGTGGAGATTCCCTCTAGATGAACATATCAAAATTTCAAACCTTGATTCACAACGGAGAGTTCTAGATCTGAAAAAAACGATTAAGATCTTACCTTACCGATTTTCTTGATCTCTCGACGGAAAACGGGACTCCGAACGCCAACATCTTCTTCTTCCTTCCAAGAAGAAGTCCTTGTCATTAGATCATGGCTGGCAGTGACTTCCGGTGGTGGTCCGATGAGATTTCTGGTGGTGGTTTTCTTGCTTTCACTCTCAAACTTTTTCTCTCTACATTTTTTCTTTCTTTGGAGAAAGGGGCTAGGGTTTCAAGGACCCCTATTATCTGGAGGGGCAAACTTACCTATTTGCCCCTCTATTAATTTTTAACCCTATTATTCTTTTACATTTATTTTTTCTTTAAATATTCGGGCTACAAAATGTGGTCTTCTCGACTAATTGTAATTTGATTATATCCCAAATAACCATCCAAGAAGCAATAATGTGACTTTCGAGCAAGTCTATCTGCATTTGATCAATGAATGAGAAGTAATTGTAATTTGATTATATCCCAAATAACCATCCAAGAAGCAATAATGTGACTTTCGAGCAAGTCTATCAAGCATTTGATCAATGAATGGGAAGGAAAAATGATCCTTACATGTTTCTTTGTTCAGTCTTCTATAATCCATGCAAATTCTCCATCCATTCACTATTCTAGTGGGGATCAACTCATTGTTCTCATTTTCCATTACTATTATCCCTTATTTCTTCGAAACACATTGAATAGGACTGACTCAGCTGCTGTTTGCAATTGGATATATTATTCCAGCATCTAGCCATTTGATAATCTCCTTTCTAACGACCTCCTTCACCATGGGATTAAATCATCTTTGTTGCTCAATGGATTTAAATTTTTCTTCCTCCGATTGTATCTTGTGCATGCATAGTGATGGACTAATTCCTTTTATATCCGCCAATGTCCAACCTATCGCCCCCTTTTGCTTCTTCAATGTTTATAGGAGCATATCCTCTTATGCTGAAGAAAATGTTGCTGAGATGATGATGGGTTGTGTCTCCTTGTCACCTAAATATGCATATTTAAGGTTATGAGGTAGTGGTTTCAAGTCCAGCTGCGACACTTCCTTAATAGATGGTTTCATCGGTGAACTCTTTCTTCCCTCACATCTAGTGACTTAAAAGTTCTGCTGAATTCACCTAAAACTGTTAACTGTTCTATTTTTTCATTCTAGTTGCTGTCTTCTTCTTGCTCACCTTCCCAACTATCCCATTCCTCAGGCTGCGGGTTGTTTTGTCAACTCATAAATTGCTAAGCATTCTTTTGCTACTACTGGATATTTCATGTTGTCTTTTAGTGAAAGAATGAGTGATTGAATGATTAATAAGAAAATGTATTATGAAGAGCAAGACTGCTCTATATATATAGAGAATACAAAAAGATATTTAAAAAATCTACCTAAAAATCGCAAACCAGTAAACAAATCAAAAACTAAATCAACTCCTAACTATAAGAAGATTTAATCACCTACTAACTGACATCAATCTAAACAAACACGTGATTTTTAGATGTTGTAAACTCCAAGCTTTTTTCTGAACACTCATCTTACTCCAATTATCTTTATGTTTAGAGGTCGATCAACCAACACCCAGGTTTTATTTTTTTCGATCATCGAAAGCTCCTCCTCTGACAGGTGCATCATCAACCAAAGCATCTTGTCGTTCATCTTCAGACTCTTCTTGTTGTTCATCTTCAGACTCTTCTTGTTGTTCATCTTCAGACTCTTCTAGTTGTTCATCTTCAGACTCTTCTAACATGCTACCAAAGATTAAATTGTTTGGTGCATTAGAAATCTGATTCACCTTCGTCAGTTCTTCCAAATTTCATTACTCATTACCAGAAAAATGAACATCTAGGCTCACAATAACACGACTAGTGTGTGGTTGAAAACTCTGTAAGCTTTGGATATAGTGTTATACCCAACAAAGATGCCAGCTTCTACCTTTTTGTCAAGCTTATCACGCTTGACCTGAGGAATGTAAGTGAAGCAAAGACACTCAAATACTCTAAGGAACTTCAAATGGTGTTACGTCCTTCACAGCTTTTGTTGAAATTCGATTTTGAAAGCACACAACAATCTTTGCTGCTTCTCTCCAAAAACGTTTTGGAAAATCCTTCTCGTGAAGCATGCATCTCATCATTTCCATTATGAATCTATTCCTCCTTTCACTGACGTCATTCTGTTGAGGAGTGTATGGTGCTGTAAATTGATGTTCAATTCTAGCCTCTTCATAAAATCTGTTAAAGGTTTCTGAAGTGTACTTCTTGTCGATCTTATAGTCTGAATCAAGCATGCACTTTTATTCTCAACTCTGGCTTTGAATTTCCAAAATAAACCCACAACTTCTAACTTTTGCTTCAGTAAGAAGATCCAACACATTCTTGTTAGATCATCAATAAAAACAATGTAATAAAGATTACCATTTAATGATGGTGTACGCTGAGGACTACAAAGTTTAGTATGAACTAGTTGCAGCTTTTTCGAGGCTCTCCATGCTTGTTTAGGAAAGAGTTGTAGAAAATAAATTTGGTCTGATACCAATTTGCAGAAAAATTAAAAGCCGCTCTGATACCAACTTGTAGAAAATAGACGCTCGCTTTGAAATTAACTCGTTTAGATAACTCTCACGAAACTTTGAAGGAGGTGTCGAGAGGGGAGAGTCAAGGAGACAAAGAATTCTCAAAAGCCTTTTTCTATGACTCTCGGCATTGCTCCTTTCTTGCTCTACTTGCTCCTTGATCTGTGCTCTTTGTTCTTTGTTCTTTGCTATGATATTAGAATGAGGTAAAGCCTATTTCTCTTTGTTCTTTGTTCTTTGCTATGATATTAGAATGAGGTAAAGCCTATTTATAAATTTTTCTAACGCTAAAAATGACCATAATTATCTACGTTTTCTTCCCACATTCTCTCACCCATAAGTCACTCCTTTCCTAAAATAGGTATGTCTTTTTTACTGAATTTAAAAATAAAAAATAATAACCACTTCTTATTTTTTTTCTCTCTCATTTAAGTTTATTTCCAACAAAACTTCCTCATAAACTTAAATGTTCATATTCAATGATTCCACATGCGTCGTTTTTGTTTTCTCGAGCTCAGTCGTGGTTTCTTCAATTTTCTCTTCTTTTCCTCGAGTGGCAAAATGAGGTTGTCTTCTCTGATGAGACTTCATTTGGATCTTCTCGAGAACGGCCCATCTGAGACACCGACTCTTCATTTCTCCCGTTGATATGAACTACGACTAAGGAATTTCCATACCTCAAGGTCCAATTACAAGGACGAGAGCTAAGAAGCTACAACAAACCTTATACAGTTATATTCAAGCTATGGTGAGTTCATCAAAGGAAATTCTAGAAGACGTTGGAGACCTCCCTTATATGTTGTGCAAAGTTGAGCTTCAAGAAAAGGATGAATTAAATGCACTTTATGTTGCATTTAATGAACTCCGCTGAATTTATGAAACTAGTCTAAGGATGAGTCAATAAGCACATTTTATTAATTGCATTATTTAATTATAGTTTAAATATTTGTCTGTGCTAGTTTTAAACGTAGGAGTTAAGGTTATATTGTAACCCACCTAGGTTACTATATTTCACCATTAACTAGCCATTTTAATAGGGAGGTTATGGGTATTTTTGAGTATTTTTCATTTACTAGCCCATTTAATTTGGGAGTTATATATCGCATAGGTTAAGGTTCTGAGAGCTATATAAAACCTTCTTTTTTTTTTTTTTTATTAGACATGGAATTAAGAATAAAATTTCTATTTTAGCTTTGTTGAAAGCTAAACTTTCTTTGCAAATTCTTGTGTTTAGAACTTGCATGTAGAGTCATTCAAGTGGTATTGATCAAACCTCTTGTGAAGTGATTCGAATCACGAGTTTAGAAACGAGTTTTCTTTACTCTTGATCTTGATCATCAAGGTAATCCGTTCCATACTTTCCCTTGGGTTGATTTTCCATATCACCCGTTCTCAGCCACGCTGGACTTAGATGTCATAGCTTCATTCACTTTACTTAATTCCCTTCGCAAGTCCACAACGACATTTTTCACTTCCATTTTTTCTTCCTCCATTTCAGCTTTATTACAAGTGATTATCTCAATCGTGTGTCGTAAACTCACTGCCTCCTGTTGGACTCGATTTAGATTCACATCAACTGAATCTCTCTGTTGAGTTAACATCTCTACATCTTTCTCCTTCATTTTCAAATCTGAGTGAGCCGCCAACTCTTCAATACCCTACCAGATTCATCCAATAACCTCTTAACAAAATTCTTCTCTTTCAACCGATTCCGATTCATAATCTCACTCTCCATCTTTTCAGCTAACAGCTTCTTGCATTTCACCTTCAAATCCTCTATCTCTTCCAAAGCCCTTCTCTCATTCTTCTCCATTTCAATCATCTTCTTTCTCAAATCTCCTATTTCCTCAAGCAATTCATCGGAATTAGCTTTAATTCCATCCCTCTCACAACAAACATTCATCCATTTCTCCCTTTCTTCCTCAACTTTCCACACAAGCCCATTATCCTCATCTTTCAATCTCCCAATCTCCCAATCTCCACATTCTTCAATCTCTCACTCTTAACTAACCTACAAATCCTATCTCTCACTTCATCCATTTGACTCTATCTCTTCTCGTCGACATTCTTCTTCAAGTCGAGCTCCAAACCCTCTTTAGCCTGAACTGGAGCTCCAAACTCCTTTCTCTTCTCGTGTGTCTTTTTTTAAAAAGCGCTCGTTCAACGATTTCAACGTCTGCAACTGAGACTTCTCCACAGATTTATCCACAGCAGTTTTGGATTGTTGCTTTGAATCTCTGTTCTCCTCCTCATGATATGGTAGTTTCTTTGGCTCGTTCGTTGATCGTATGGGCTTCTTCTTCGTCATTTTTTGGGGATTTTCAAGGGAATTTGAAGGGATTACAGCTTGCATTTGAACCATCTGTTTCTCACGTTCAATTCGCACTTCTGCCATCCTTTCTCTCAATTCCATTCTCTTTCTTATTTCTTCCTCAAATTCTCTTAACCGCCATTGAAGCTCTCTCTCATCGAGCTTGGGCTCTCTGTTATTCGGTTGTTCATCTTTTTGTCATTTTCTCATTTCTGATACCGCGATTTCACCAAATCTGTTGCGTATCACCTCATTTCTGATAGTTTCTACCACCTCAAGACTACCGCCATCATCTTTTGCGCCGCCGTCTCCTTTTGTGTTCGGCTCTCTGTTTTGAGCCATCAAGAGGATGCCTCCACTTTTTGCGTCATCCAAGGCCATGTTGATGGTTTCTTCCACCTTTTCTTCGACTCGACAATCTTTGCATAATAACCCATTCTATCACAATTGTAACATTTGTTGAAGTTACAATTATTTGCATAGTGGCCAAATTTCTGACATTTAAAGCAGTGGACGTTGGAATTGTATCCTTGATTGCGTCCTCTTCCACGCCAATTTGCTTGGCTCAACAGTCTCTTCTCCTAGTAGTTTTCTTCGTAAGTGTTGCCTTGACCACCTCAACCATTCTCGCGACTTTCATGACCTCTACCTTGAAAATTTTGAGAGTAGAGTGCCTTTTCATCCTTTATCGATGCCTTCGTCTGAAGCGCTTGATCGAGTGGCTCCTCCTTCTTTTTCTTACGTTGATCGTATGCCTCGAGAGAACCGGTGAGCTCATCGACTGTGAACTTTGCTAGATCCTTCGACTCTTCTATGGCACATACGACATTCTTAAAGTTGTCGGTTAACGATCTAAGGATTTTCTCCACCACCCGCGTCTCAGGTAACATTTCTCTGTTTCGATTTAGCTGATTCACCACGGTCTGTACACGTGTAATATAGTCACACATTTTTTGACTCCTTCATCTTCATGCTCTCCAACTCGCCACGCAGAGTTTAGAGACGCACCTACTTGACTCGGTCGGTTCCTTTGAACACCTTTTCTAGAGTGTCCCACGCTTCTTTTGAAGTAGTTGCCCTTGCAATCTTCTCAAAGCCCGACACATCAACAACTCAGAACAGAATGTATAATGTTGCCTTATCCTTTGATCGTAATTCCTTTAGCGTGTTATTTTGCGCTAAAGTATAACCCGTGGTATCAATCGGTTCTTCGAAATCGTCTTTGACCACCTCCCATGCATCTTGCGAACCGAGAAGAGCTTTCATTTGGATGCTCCAATTCTCGTAGTTCATCTTTGTCAATCATAGTAGCGGCATTTGTCCCATCATGTTCGCCATCGGCTTTGATACCAATTTTTAGAAAATAAATTTGCTCTAATACCAATTCATAGAAAAATTAAAAGTCGCTCCGATACCAACTTGTAGAAAATAAATGCTCGCTTTGAAATTAACTCGGTTAGATAACTCTCACGAAACTTTGAAGGGGGTGTCAAGAGGGGAGAGACAAGGAGACAAATAATTCTCCTTTTTCTATTACACTTTCTACACGGCTCCTTTTTTGCTTTACTTGTTCTTTGCTCTCATATTACAATGAGAGGGAAAGCCTATTTATAAGTTTTCCTAACACTAAAAATGACCATAATTATCCCAGTTTTCTCGTCCATAAGCCACTTCTTTCCTAGTATGGCTTTTTGACTGAATTTAAAAACCAAAAATAATAACAGCTTCTTTCTTCTTTTTTTTTTTTCTCTCTCTCTCTCATTTAAGTTTATTTCGAACAAGGGTTGCCTATGTTGCTTCCCAAAATTACAAGCACGACAAAGATGCATGCCATCATAAATGTCAGCGAGTTCTTCTACCAGCTTCTTTGACTGTATCTGAAGCAAACCTCGATGATGAAAGTGCCCAAGTCTTTTGTGCCAAATCTTAGTGGCACTAGCTCTGGATATAAAGGCCATCGGATTTAGAGCAAAGCTTTTTCCTTTCATTTTGACATTAAACAAGTCTTTGGCACTCGCATCTCTGATCAAGCACTGCTTATTCTCAAACAACACTTTATAGCCTGTATCAAGTAACTGACCAACGCTTAAGAGATTTTGATCAATTTTAGGTACAAATAAAACATCTGGAATAAATTTTGTACCTTCATAACTTGTTTTAGCTACTGTGTCTTTTCCTTCAACTTTCAAGTGTTCACCATTGCCAATCCTTACTCTCTTGACTTCAGTGTCTCTTAATTCTTCAAAAAACTCCTTGTCATATGTCATATGATTTGTGCACCCACTGTTAATTAACCAGCTCTCGCTTGATTCTTTGCCTGAGAAACAAGTGACCACAAACAATTGATCTTCTTCTTCTTGATCAACTACCTGTGCATCTACTTCTTTCACCTGTCATTTGACTTTGCAGATCACAGTTTCATGTCCATGTTGATTGCATTTAGAGCATTTCGCGTTAGGTCTTCACCAACACTTGTATGGTGGATGACCTTTCGTCTCATAATGACGGCAAGGTGGATAGAATTTTTTGGAACCACCTCCTTTTTTCTTCTGATAATTGGCAAATGAATCTTCATTCGTCGATTGATTTTTGAAAATTTTCTTGTTTTTATACCTGGTGTTGTCTTGATGATTAATTGGTAAGGCACCTTCAATCACCCCTTCTTGCCTCATAGACCTCCTTTCCTCTTGTGCTTGTAAAGCGTTCAAGAGCTATATAAGAGATATCTTTGACAGGTCTTTGGTGTTCTCCAGAGTAGTAATGGTGGCTTCAAACTTCTCTAGAAGAGTGACTAGCAGCTTTTCAACGATCTTGGAATCATTTAATACAGAACCAAGCAATCTCACCTTGTTGGCAATGCTGAGAAGTTTTCCAGAGTACTCTTTCACCGACTCAGACTCCATCTTCTACAACTCGAAATCCCTAATCAAATTCAAGACTTTCATTCCACGAATCCTCTCATCTTCTTCATATTCAGCCTTGAGATAATCCCAGATTTCCTTTGCTATTTTAAGGGACATTATTCGCATGATGATCATTTGAGATACAGCTGCAAATAGGCAAGCTTTTACCTTTGATTTTCTTGTCTTCTTGTCCTTCTGTACTTTGATTTGTGCTCCAGTAGAATTTGCTGGAACTGGAGGGACCTCGTAATTCTCTTATATTGCTTCCCAAAGATCCAAAGCCTCCATAAAAGTCTCTATACGAACTGCCCACATTTGATAATTGTCTCCATCGAAGACTGGTGTTGCAATAGCTGAAAAACTGAATTCTCCTTCCATCTTGATCTCACAGATCCCTTAAGAAGACGACTCTGATACCAATGGTTAGTGAAAGAATGAGTAATTGAATGGTTAGTAAGAAGATTGTATTATGAAGAGCAAGAAGGTTCTATATATATTATATATATAGAGAATACAAAAAGATATTTAGAAAATGAACTTAAAAATCTGCAGAAAATTTGGTAACAAACTAGTAAACAAATCAAAAACTAAATCAAATCAAAATTAAAACAACTCCTAACTATGAGGAGATTTAATCAAATACTAACTGACAGAAATCTAAACGAACACGTGATCTTTAACACTGTCATTGTTATTAAATTCGACTTTTTGGTCGCCCATTCTTAATATTATGGTTCCCTTGTATACATCTACTAGTGTCCTCCCGGTCTTTAAAAATGACATCCCCAAAATAATTGGTACATCACGGTCGGTTTCATAGTCTAAAATAATAAAATCTGCTGAAAATATGAATTTATCCACTTGAATTAAAATGTCTTCAATCTTTCCTTTGAGATAAGTGATGGACCTATCGGCTAGTTGTAAGGTGACTGTAGTCGGTCTAGCCTCTCCAATTCCTAACTTCTTGTAAATGGATAGAGGCATTAAGTTGATGCTTGCTCCTAAGTCATATAATGCTCTACCTATCTCCTTTCATCCAATTGATACGGGAATAGTGAATGAACCTAGGTCTTTCTCTTTCAGTGGGATCTTGTTTTTCAATATTACACTATACTCTTCATTTAGTGACACCACCTTGAATTCTTCAAACTTTTTTCTATTAGTGAGCACATCCTTCAAAAACTTCACATAATTTGGCCTTTGCTTTATTAAAGCCTCCACTAGTATAATGTTTATAGAAATTTTCTTTGAAATGTCCATAAACTTCTCAAAATGGGCTTCCTCTTTCTTTCTTTTGATTCTGTGTGGAAAAGGAGATGCTAGTGTGTATGTTCTGCTCTCTTGTCCACTCGTTGCTGTTGTTTGCATTTTAGGCGGCTTCTCAGTTTTTGCATAATCCTTGTTGTGTTCTTTCTGTACAGCAGCTTCCTCATTTCTCTGCTGTGTATCAGCAACTTCTTGGGAATGGCTATCACCGTGTTCTGCACTTTTTTCTCCCCTGCTGGGTATTTTTTCCACTTCTCAACTCTATTGCTTGACATTGCTCTTTGTCTTCTCTTTTTGGTGCTTCTTTGTCTGCTGACAGCTTCTCGAGAGGCCTATTTCGTAACTCAGTTGCTAATTGACCTACTTGAACTTCCAAATTTTGCAATGAGACTTGTTGACTTTGAACCACGGCATCATAATTGGCTATATATTCCTTTATTAGGCTCTCAAGAGATGTTCCTGATATGTATTGAGCTTGACTAGTTCCTTTCCCTTGGATGTTGACTTGTTGAGAACTATATGCCAATTGATTTTGTAATCCAAAACCCAGAGGGTAATTTGCTTTAGATGACATTTGTTGGTTGTATGAGCCATGTCCCTTCCATGAGAAGTTTGGATGAGTTCTCCACCTTGGATATATAAGTATTTGAGAATGGATTATTTTTTGGGTTGCCTTGACTAGTTTGATTCCCCATATAAAAAATTGAGGTCGGATTGCTTGGACATTGATCAAAAGTGTGTTCCTCTCCACAATATACACAAGATTCGGCTGCTGCCTGGTTCATTACAGTAGCTGTATGGTGGTGCTTTGATCATGGAGTCTTGTCCCAATGCTAGATTTTGTAAAATATTAATCACCGAAGCTAGTTGAATATTATAGAGGAAAAAACATTAACTTCAAGTACCCCTCGAGTCTTCTTTCCTGGGTTGCTTCTCAAATCGGCCCATTGACAGTTGTTAGATGCTATTCTCTCTAAAATTTCATATGCTTCATTGTATTTCTTTGACAAAATAGCTCAATTGGCGGAAGCATTAACTACTTGTTTAGTAGCAATATTTAATTCATTGTAAAACGTCTCCATTTGTATACAATGAGGTAATCCATGGTGAGGACATTTTCTAAGCATCTCCTTAAATCTCTCTCACCCTTCACTTAGTGTCTCATCTTCAAATTGTTGAAAAGCGACAACCTCATTTCTGAACCGTACGTTTCTAGTGGGAGAGAAATACTTGATCAAAAATTTCTTCTCTACTAGACTATTCCAAGCATCAATTGTTCCCGATGCTAAGGTATTCAACCATGATTTAGCATCATCCCTCAATGAATAAGGGAATAAGCTCAGTCTAATCATGTCTTTATCCACTCCTTGAAATCGAAACGAGTCACTAACTCTCGAAAATGACTTTAGGTGTAAGTGAGAATCTTTCGACGGTAGTCCATGAAATTACCCAATGGTTTGCAATATTTGAAACATCATGGGCTTTAGCTCAAACGTGGTTGCTTGTATTTTGGGTCTAGTAATGCACGAATTTAGCTCTTCCACAGTTGGGTGTGCATATGCTCGGATCATTCATTCTCTATCATCTACTAAATGAATGGCATTAGCAGTAATTCTTTCTTGATTAGCCATCATCGCTGGATTTTCAAACTCCCGGTTCAGCTGGGCTCCAAATTCTATTTGCTGTATATTTTGTTCTTTCATGTTCTTTTTCTCCCTCAACATTTGTTTAAATGTTCTCTCTATTTCAGGATCCAAAATAAATTCCAAACTCGTAGGTGGGTTCATACACAAAATTCTGCATTAGTAAGCTCAATTCTGCAACAGTAAACTCAACAATAGAAAATTTAGCTTACTATGGCTTCTTTTTGGCTCCAACTCACAAAAATATACCACAAGTAAAATAACCAAATTAGGTTCCCCAGCAACGAGCCAAAAACTTGATCACTTGTGGATGTATATATTAAAATGATGTAAAATTCACAAGAATAAATTCAAGTATACACTATCACATAGCAAGTAATGAGTAAATTATTGATTCTACAGGGAACATATTTTTTTGGTTAATTTTATGATTGAAAATTAAGTGAGTTTTTGGGTAACATTCAAATGAGTGTTGGTGATCTTTAACTAATTAAACAAAACTAAAGCAGAGTGCCATTGCTGTCGAAAAGTAGAATGATGAGAAAATCAACTAGAATGAGGAAGGTTTGGCTAAGAGATATTAAATAGATAAGTTGTTGAGGTTTGTGGTAGATTTTTTTTCCTTTTAATAGATTCCGAAGCCCACTTACAAGGGTCATGCATGATGATTATTTTCATAATCGTTTGTAATTTCTATTAAACAAGGCTCTAGGAGAAGAATTATTCCTAACCCTTCTATTACCTTTCAAGTTTCCTTGCAATGGAACTAGAGTATTAAAGAGGATTTCATTGCTCCCTCTCTTCTCGCGAGAATAAAGAACAACTATGTATATAAAGTAGCTAATTAAACACACATGTAAATTATTAACAACAACTCTTGAAAAAACTAAAATCATACCATCAACATACTTAAACTATATAAAACTCTTTCGCCTCCCCTATAAAGTTTAGCTATCCATACAAACTAAATTAAACAGAGAAACCCACATCACAATCGTATAAAATTGATAGAATAAGAAAAGAGAGTAAGGAAATAGAGAGTTATCCAGCTTTGTTGCTGTTCTTCAATGGAAATTGCTTTCCCTTGAGCTCTCACGTCCACCTCTTTGCCCTAGTCTATCCTTCTTGGTCTTCTTTTCCTTTTGTCGTCAACAATTATTGGATTAGAGTTTTTCTTCTTCTTCTATGGTTTCACAGCAATTCACAGCAGTAGAGGCTCTGCTGTCTAATCCGATCTTTCTCTCCCAAAATGCGGCTCCCCCTTCTTGGTCTTATTTTTCCTTTTATATTGAGCATGAGTTCCCATTTAGGGCTAAAAAGAAATAAGTTGTCCACATAAGATGTTCATCATTGGGTAGTCAATGACCCACTTGGATTGCTGATGTGGATTTAAAATTTCCATGTCATCCCCGTTTGTTTCCAGATTTGAAACTTCATCATGGTTCAGCATAAATGTCTGAAATTTTACCACATAACTCAATTAAACATACAATTAAGATCGATCTATGTCAAATCATATTCTCTTTATGTTGGGCCATAATAAACAGTTTCATGCTAACTAATTAGAATAAATGGGGTAATAAATGAGAAAATGGTGAATAAGAGTGCAACATTAACTATAAAAAGACTTGATATGACTCTACTTTTGGAGAGTTATCACTCCACGTTCAGCTTCGTCACAGATCTTATAGATCCCACCAAACAGAACCTATAGGGACAATAATTGTGATATTTGATGAAGTTTCAAGAGATATATGAGTTGAAGAAGTTTTTGGAAACCCACAAAACATTACCATGGCCAACGCACTCGATTCCTTCCTCTCCAAGCTTTCGACCCCTTCTTTCTTTCTCTAATATCGCGTTGAAAATCCCCCAAGTAAACTGCTTAAAATCTCTTATTGTTTCTTCGTCGGCATGCACGAGAAGGTCTCAAACATCCCTCTCAGTCTCTCTGCGCTTCCTCTCTCATTTGCCTCTTCTCTCCCTTAAACCAATCATTGCCCCTCTCTACCCCAAATCGAGCTACAAATTCAAGAATTTGGAGCCATCTAGTCGCCATCTGTCTCTGTTGTCCTTATTGCTGACACACATTGTACCATGCTACAAAAACACGTTTTTCTCTTTTTTTTTTTTTAAAAAAAATATATATATATTATATAATAAGTATTATTTATTTCCGTCTTGGTCAACTAGGTATTACAAATCATTCCCTCCTTTTAATAACTTTTGTCCTCGAAAGTTCCTCGGGTACTTGGTTCTTATCTTGTTCTCTTGTTTCCAAGTAATTTCTTTAGGCCATTTTATCGGTGTACTTTAACCAAATCTGATTCTCTTGTTTAATAGAGTTTTCATACACATTGGAAAAATATGCATGGTTGCTCTTAGTAACTTAAGTCTTGTTGCCGAGGTAGTGTTTGTAATTGATGGTGTGCAATTGGGTCAATGGTATACTTTCTACGCATGAATATGTGGAAACCATTGTGGACGACAACTAGCGTTAGTGCTATGGTAGCCTATTCGCTACTGATCCATGCATTTGAAGATCCTAAGTGTCTAATAAACAAAGTCTCAACTTTCCTCTCTTCCCAACCTCAATCCTTCTCTCAAAGGGACAACTTTAAGGAATATATGATCTCCTATTTCAAATTCGAGTTCCTTCCTTCCGGTGTTTGCATATTTCTTCTACAATTCCAACGTAAGGGAGTATCCATGTTCGGCTCTATGAACACTGGAACATCATGTCATTTTCTATCTCCTCTAAGTATCTTCATGTCCACTTTTCTATTAAATGGGTGGATTTTCTAACATGAAGTGTGCCGACTTCGCTAGTCGATTAATGGTGACCTAAATCACTATGCAACATTCCTTCGACTCTAGGATGCTCGAGGGATGCGATAATTCTGAGGGTCTTTGTCTTGGTGTCATAATTCCTAAATTTGAGACACCCTTACTTAGACCAATCTAGGTCACTAGATCAGTTAGAAATCATATGGCTACCAATCTAGACAATAAAATCAAAGTGACACCTTACCAATCAAGGTGAGGGTCGTGAGCTCGGAACATACTAAAAGATAGGAGGTACTAGATGATTTTAGGCACAGGTAAGCTGGCTCAGTTCTTTCCATGAAGTGGCACTTAGACATTAGGGTGTCGAGTCTGACTCATGATCTTATTCGTGCTTATTATCAAAATCAGTTCAATATGCTAGTTTCAACCTTAGAGAAATACCTTGATCTTAAGTTTATACATCATACATCATACTCTAGAGAAGTTCAACTTGGGTATGAAGTTTGATGATTTTCTCCTGTAATCATTTCTTGTTGTTATATAAAAAAAAAAACTTTGTTCTATTATGCTCCTTCAAGCAGTTTCTAATCATCTAGCGCCTTCTCATGTTGTACCTGAGCAACAACACTTACTCTAGCCCCTATGGCTATCGCGCACGATCCATTCACTCTTGCCTCAATCAAACTTCTCTCAGATATCGCGTAAGGGCAAGAGTGTTAAGCAAGTTATTTCTATACCCTAAAAAGTAATTTTAAGGAGTTAAGGCCTTTAATGAAGAATTGAAAAGGAAAATGTATGCTAAAAGGAAAAAAAAAAAAAAAAAAGTCATTTTTCCAATTTCTAAGGAACTTTATGGATTTTTAATTCTTTATCTAGAAGAAATCTCAAGATGGTCAAGAAGGAAAAAAATGAACGGAAAATTCTTTAGAAAAATTATGAATTTTTCAAGAAAAATAATAATAAAATATTCAAAAAGTGACAAATTACCAAAATACCTCTAAAATTATGGATATTTACGGATATACAATTTTACTCACAATTAGAACCTTTGCAGTGACCTCCTTCATAAATTCCATCGAATCTCAAAATTCAATCATTTGATCTTCTCCAAAATTGGACACAATCTAGAACGTTCACAGATCACCAAATCCAACGATCATAATTTAAATTAGAAGTCAGTAACTCCTGATTGGAGAGAATATTTTGGATGGACTATCTAGAAAATTCAATCTCCAAATCACGATAATTCTGGAGGTTTCAACATCGGTGGAAGCTTCCCCTGTGATGTCTAAAGTTGGGGCTACAGTATGAAACAAGAATTGAGGAAGGTCGAGCTCCCAATCGTAAGCAATAAGCGTTTAGATTTGGGTCTCTATCTCTCGAATTTCTTACAAATTCGATAGCAATTCTCTACAATTTCCCTTCAAACTTGTTCCTACAGTTTCTAAACAAGATTACCTACAAGTTCTATGAAGAAATCGAGTGCTAAAAGTGCCTAGAAATCATTCCCCCAATCCAATTTGCCATTAAAGTGCTTCAAGAAATACTTAAAAATCAAATCCGATGATATAGGATATTTTTTTCGAGCAAGGAAGATCCCAATAAGTTTCTCCATCTCCAAAGAGTATTTTCATAGAAGACCACGAAGAGAAATAACCTCAAGAACATGTCCAATGGAAGAAAATTTGTTTCGGGTAGAATTTGGGGGTAAGTGTCTAATTCCTATCTACGGTCCCTTTTCCTTCAAATTGAGAATTTCTTTAGCCTCAAAGGA